ACATGAAATAAACCCTTAGTTTTCGGCCATACGAAATTCGGCCGTTTTCTGTTAAAAGCAATATGGCGGCAAAAAAATTCTAGAAATTTTAATAAAATTATTGATTGTCCGACTTTCGGACATTTTAATATGACCTACGTATAATTAACCAACAAATTCGTAAAAATTATATGGATTGACGATAACGTTACATAAACACGTTTAAAAATTTATGACTTGATTTATTTTTTTAAGAAAACGCCTGAAATTCGGATGCATGAAAACTAAACTTAAATGTTTTGATATTTTGATGTAACCAATTTACCTCTTTTTGTTGCCTAGCCTGCTACTATAGTTTTTAGACCATATAATACTAAGCGGCAGCCTAACATGATTTGTTCTCTTAATATCTCCGGTTTGACAGAAAATAGAAAGTTGCGGTTTGCGCTGATACTTTGGAAATTTTGTGCTCTATTTAACTGTGCAAAGAGAAATATAGTCTCCTTTTTAAACTTTTTAAGCAAAAGCGCAATATCTGTTATGATATCAAACAGCGCCCTTTAGCTACCATGAAAAAAATTACGGAAACAAAATTTATACTGGAGATCATTAAGGAAAAAAAGCTCTTTTAAACGGGAGCCCTAGTTTTTTAAATCGGTTAACCCAAACCAGAGTTATCCTTATTTTAATAAAGCAAGTTTAACCTTCCCCACCACTTTTTTTATGAGATAGAGCAAAATACACTATATCAAAAAATTTACAAATTTTCTCGATGTATTACAACAGTAATATTTATAACCTGTTCACCTGTATATTTTTTAGAAAAACCCTTGTTTTCTGATTGGCATCGGAGAAACGCCTCCCTAGCGGACATTTTCTCGAACTAGAAATAATTTTTTTTCTCTTGGTCGGATTTACTTATTTAGAATCTTTTTCCCAAAGTTATACTATAAATAGTTTTCGAGATACAGCCGGCGTCCATTTTTAGTTGGCCACCCGGTACAGTCTCCACCGCAAATAATTTGGTGCAAAAACCGGGCAACTGCCGTATTTGCCCAGTTCTTGCCCCAAATAAATATGCAGGCAAGTCCTTTATCTTTATTATATTCCATATGTGTAGACAGATTTGCCCGATTTTCGCACGGTGCGCATTGTCGAATATAATACAATCCATTTAAAAACAAATTTTGTGAAAATTATGGACTTGCCCGGTTCTTGCACCAAACTCTTCAATTTAAGTTGATGATAGTATGAAGGGTGAGTCTTAAAATAAAGTGCAAATATTTTCAGGGTGGTATATTGCGACCCCAGGAACACGACTATGAGTTTTATTTCTCTAAAAAAAGTTGTTTTTAAAAATTTGCTACATCTTTCCTAATTTCCCAGTATATTTATGTATATTCATTATATTCCAAATTTTCCCACGCCCATAATTTCTTAATCTTGGATATCACTATGATTACGGCACCAAAACTCATGAACATACAGAAATAATTATAGAAATTCCTGATAAATTTTAATAAAATAAAATCAAATATTTTTTTAAATTTTCACTTGGATATCTCGCTTACAGCAAAATGTTTCTTTTATTTTTTTTGAGATTTACAAAAAAAAAAAAATATTTGCCCTTATTTAAGACTCACCCTGTATAAGAAAAACTTCAAACACTATTACATACCACCAACTTGCAGAGCAAGAAAATTTGCAATGCGAAGTGAAATTATTTGTCATATCTTTTGAAATTGAGTCAGGAAAACGATAGAAACCAAATCGGGAAAATTCGTTTTTTCTAAGATATCCTCAAAGTAATCGACGAATTTTACACATCTTGTATCTTGTCTAGTTTACAATATCCCTGTAGTGAACATCCTTTTAATATAGGATATTGTGTATAAATATCCTTTTACAAGAGTTGGTCTACTGTCCATTATTAAATATCTTTTCAAAAATTTTAAAAAAAAAAAAAAAAAAAAAAAAAGTAATAATTAATAAAAATTTAAAAATAAAACAAAAATAAACACAAAAAAAAAAATTGTTTTTGTGAAAACAGACGTCTTACATTGAAACACATAATATGATGTAGTAGAGGGATTATTAGAAAAAGATCGTGCCCGTTGAATGATTGTATTATTCCTCATATATTCTTTGCCATAAAATGACAGCGATTTTCATTTCATAGCCATCGCTGACGCCTTTTTCATTCGATATTATTCAATGCAATCATGCATTAAGATCTATACTTACTATGCTATAAATATATATTTTTTTTTCATCATACGGTATGTATAATGAATCTAGTCAATCCCCTTCACACTTGCTTACGGATTCAATGAATAATGTAATTTTAATAAAATGTCATTTCCAACAACAAGATGCTAGATCATCATCATACTGCAATATGTATACATGCTTAGTATTATATTATTTATTTAATTATACATTATACACACGTTAATAAATAAATAATTGTGCTGGACAGCATTCAACAAAAACAAAAAAAAATAAATGTTGCATTATCGATTTTAGATATTCTAATAACAAGATATTCTATAAAACAATATCAACACACCCAGACAATTAAAACTGCGATGGAAACAAACAGGAAAACAGGATACAAAACAACATACAAAGTAATAATAAGATAATAGGATGTGCGGTAAATTAGACGAATTAGTTCAATCACAGATTAGGTATACTATATGTGTATAGATAAAAATCTTGTCCTAATTCGTGGTACGAAGATTGTTTTTTATGACGATGTGCAAACGAGTCAAATTTCCAGTGCGCAAAAATAAACTCACGTAAAATAACAATAAACAGAGTAATAGAGAGATATCGCTAAACAGAATAGCTTGCATGGACGTTAATAAGTTCAGGTGTTATTTCCTTTAGTTGAGGTGGTATTAACTCTTCATTTATGTTATCGGATCGGAAAGAAATTGATCGCGTCGCGTCCGCTATTTAAACTTAACCTAACTTTGAATTTAAAACTTTAAATTGTTTTGTTTACTAGGTATTTTAAAACTAGCTAAAGTAATTTCCAGTGCTTTATTGTCCAACGTCTGCCAATGGGTTTAGAAAACAAGCAACAAATTTTAGAAGGCTTAAGTCGTCATCTGCTGTAAAACCTAATATTCTTTTTATAGGTTCTTTTAGTATTGAAGAGGTGGAACTATTTTGAGCTTATTTGAATTAACTAATCCCAGCTACTTCAATATCAAATTACCTAATAAAAACCAAAGCAATAATTCAAACCAATTCAAACATAACCTAAAATAATTGATCTCGCCGGCCGGCTCCGGTTGTCAAACACCCGCACATGCCCATTTAAACAATTTTTAAACGTTATCAGAGGTTATTTAGAGAGAGCGCTTGGTGTAATTAATCCGCAAATTACGTCAGATCCGCAAATTACGTCAGGCGTTAACGTTATTAGCGGGTGTGCGTTGACTCGCGCATATCGTAAATCGTAACTATGATAAGGTACGCGTAAATACTGATGACGCTATTCGGTTTTCCGATATCTCTCTAATAACTGTGCCGTTAGCCGCTGTGCACAATTTTAGAAACCATAAGTGGGCGTGCTAATGTGCGCAAACTAGTAAATTGGAACCACGAAAAACACAAAACAAAGATTATAATCTGTATAATCTGTGGTGCACTACCAAATAAACAAATTTTTGGCCTGTGTCTAAATTAGATCCAAATGTAAAAGAAGACCAACTCAAGCAACTATTAAAAACTCACTTCCCAGAAGTAGAATGTCAGAAATTGGAATCAAGAAATACCAACTTTTTCTCATCTTTCAAGGTAATTATTGATGAAACAAATTACGATAAGGCATGGGATCCACAGATATGGCCTCAAGATGCTCAAGTTTCGCCGTTTTTTCGGAAGAGAACTAATAAATATTTTGCAAAACAACAAAGAAGATATTAATTATGACAATACTACCAGTTCTGTCGGTGCTTACGTATCTAAAGTGCAATATCAGAATGTTTCAAATGATACCTTGAGAAGTATTACATTAATGTATCAAAACCTTAGATCACTTAAGAATAAACTGCATGAAATTCAGGCGTATATATGTGACAAAAATCTTGATATATTTTGTGTCTCTGAGCATTGGTTAGACGGTAGTGAGTCAGCTGAACTTAAAATATCTGGACTTGTTGTGGCTTCAATTTTTTGTAGGGAGGAGTCCAGAGGAGGTGGGGTAACCACCCTTTTTGACTCTACTATTGAACATAATATTACTAAAATCTCGAAATTTTCAATAGAAAAAATCATAGAACTTTGCTGAGCTTACATAAAGAGTCTCAACATTTATATATTCTGCGTTTACAGATCTCCTGGAGAAAGTATAGAGGTGTTTGTGACTCAACTTGGCAGAGCCATTGACAGTGTGGGACATCGCAGAAAAATCATTATTGTAGGCGATTTTAATGTACTCTTTGGTACAAAACAAAGCGAGTCAGTGTTGGTAAATGATATGCTGGAATCATATGGATTTCGTGCATTGGTGAGTGCTGGTACGCGCGGCGGAAACTGTATAGATAACCTATTTATTAACTTCGATGTTCTTTTTACCGATATCAAAATAATCGACAACGGTCTGTCTGATCACAACTTAATAGAGCTTCGGTTTGGAATAGATAGCGATACAAATAACAAGACACTGATGAAGAAATATAGACCTATCACTGAAAGAGGTAAGAAATCTTTTTACTTAGTTCAACATAACTGGTCTTTTTATGTCTAAAAACAACACAAATGTCAGTACTAAATGCAAACCAGATAAGATTCAAGAAGTTTTTGATGCTTTTTCCAAGAAAAATATATAAAAAACAAAATCAGACTATGTTTCCTTGGTTTAATGACACACTGCGGGAAATGCGAGAACGTCTGTGTTTTCTTAATGATCTTTTTAAACAATACCCATCCCAAGAACTGCTTGACAATAGAAACTGCTTTAAAAAAACAGTATCGAAGGGCAATTAAAGTCGCGAAAAGGGAATATAATGATAGACTTATTTCTAACTCAACAAATAAGTCAAAAAGTATTTGGAAAATCGTGGAATAACAACTGTGCAAACAAACAAAACAAACCCCCAATGACAATTGGTCCCGATGCATTTAATGATTTTTTCTCTAGTGTGGCGGATGTCTTGGTCGGAAATGGACAGTATTCTACACAAGATATTCCATTTCGGATTACTTATCTGCCGGATGAGGAATTCAAGTTCGGAGATGTGGGTTTTAATGAGGTCAGGGACGTAATACTTAACTTAAAAAATAAAGATACAAATTTGGGTTCAGTGTTAGGATTATAAAGATGATAGGGGAGCTTATCCTTATACCGCTAACAAAATAAATTTGGCACGGTGCTTTAGGGAATGCATTTTTCCATGTTGTCTCAAGTAGGCTGTTGTCGTACCGGTATTCAAAAAGGGGGACAAGAATGATATATCTAATTATCGTCCGATTTCACAGCTTCCTGTTTTTTCAAAAATAAAAAAAAAAAAAAAAAAAAAAAAAAAAAAAAGAAAAGTTATTTTAATATAATTGCTAAACGACCAAGAAGTTTCAGGTCCTGAACGCAGCATTATTCTGGACCTCGTGTCATTCATCTTGAATGGCTTTGAGGGTAAGGAACATGCTGGCGCGGTATTTTGCTATTTAAGTAAAGCCTTCGATTGTGTGTCTCACGAGTTGCTCATTAAAAAACTCGACTATTATAAATTTAGTGAGGGTAGTGTTGCCCTTTTGAAATCCTACATGGAGAACAGAATACAGAGAGTGGTCGTTGATGGTGAGTGGTCGAACCCAAGACCTCTTAAAAATAGTGTCCCACAAGGCTCAGTACTGGGCCCTTTACTTTAATTTATATAAACAACTTACCACATATCCGACGCGACGACCACTACGTTTTATTCGCAGATGATACAGCGGTCTCGGTCAGAGGAAAAGAGCTAAAAGACCTAGAGGGACGCGCGGATGACGCCTGCTGAAGGCGGCCGACTGTCCGGGAAAAATAACCCAGTTTTAAAATGAGGCCAAAACAAATCGTGTAATTTTCGAGTCGACAAGTAATACGTAACGAACCATGTCTGA